TGGGCAATCCTACTTCCGTAGTGATACTGCCTCGAAAACCCAAGGAGGGGTCGCTATGAGTCGGGGCCGACTCGACGGCACATAACAACAACAACAATCATGAAACAAAGATGTCTGTATTAAGTAGATCTGAAAATATTTCCTCTTTCAAAAGTTTAGATAATTTGCTGTGGATATAAGAACTGGTTTTATTTTAAATGGAAAAATAATTGTGGAAAACAAACATGTTGTTAACTATTCAGAATTCATTACTTTCATTTCACAGACCAATGTTTGTGTTTATCCAATTATATCCTTTTTCTGCTCATGTCCTGTATGATTATTTTTAAACCCCATGGATATTCTTCCCTATATAGTTTTCCTAATATTATTACTTACCTTTCTGGGTTAAGGTTGAATATTCCACAAGTATCTCATGAAAGAAATCAAGTCTACAACGGATTTTCTTAATAGTCCTACAGGGACTTACATGACAGCAAACAGTGTTTGAAAATTTGCATGCATTCACATAGCCTATTCACCATAGTTCTAGATTCAAATGTGAACTGAGCTTTTCTATGTCCAGTTGTCCTGGCTTGTGTAGTTTTAATCAGAGACAAAAAAAATTATGAAGCTCCCCTCTACTCATATTCACCGAATCCTAATCATGGGTAATGGCAACAAAAATAGTGTACAAGCTGCCCCCGCAATGATGTGTAATGGGGCAATATATTTAAATTATTTTTGCTTAAAGAAACCTATTTACCCACCCGTCCCTTCAGCCTTTATGAATGTTGATTTCTCTTACAATGATTTTTCTGGAGATTGTGTGTATAAAAAATCTTCAGAAGAGATAGAAATTTTGCTTTTATCCAAGCAGCACAGAGAAAGCTTGAGTACTATTCTTGTTTACTACCCAAATACCTTCTTATGAATAAGATTTCTTATCAGAAAAAAAGCAATATACTATCGTTATAAAGAGAAGTGCTTTGGAGACAAGCAGACACACATTGAGTTCAGGTTCTGGCTACTACTAGCTCGCTTGACTTTTACAATTCATTGAGATAATGCCCTCATAAAAAGAGGGTTGTGAAAGAGTTTTTGAGGATTGATGTTTTGTTGTTGGTTGCCACAGAGTTGATTCCAACTTAGGGCAACCCCACATGTGCAGAATAGAACTGCTCCATAAGGTTTTCAAGGCTGTGACCTTTCAGATGCAGATGGCCAGGCCCATCTTCTGAGGCACCTCTGGGTGGGTTCATACAGCCAAACCTTCAGCTAGTAGTCGAGCACTTAACCATTTTGCCATCCAAGAATTTCTTTGTTGTGAGGATTAAATGAGATAATATTGGTAGAACTCTTAGGAGAGTTCTGCGACAGATTGGTATTCAATAAATATGATAACTATTATAATTATTACTGCTATGAGAGAAGTGACAAAGTTAAAATAGTTTACATCTTTGAAGAACAGATTCAATGCCAGGGCCTAGACCTATTCTTATTTCTCATAAATGCAGTCTGGATGACAGATGTTTGAAGGTGGCTTCTAGGAACTGTGTTTGAAACAGATATCTCTTCATTCAGAAGAGCTTTACTAATTTTCATTATATTATTTGTCTCTTTACTTCAAATCTTCAAGGATTTTGCTTTATTTTCTCCTAAGAAATAATTTCTATGTATTTCTAATATAATAACCTAAAATACAATAACTAAAAAATAGCATTTGATGTTAGACATAATTGTTCAATGTACTTTCTCGCTGTACCCACTGAAATTAACACATGTTGAACTCAGCTTTCCTTTTGGGTAAATATTGGCTCCCTCAAACTAAGATAAAACCCTTTTCGTTTGAATAAATGAGCTATAAAATAGTTGCCATTAAGTTATACTGAAAGTGTACAAGTTTCTAAGTCAGATGCTAATAGTGAACAATATTCCCCTTCTTTTTTAAACCACAAAACCTTTATGGGAATATTTTAGTGACCAGGAATGTCATCTGCCTCTATTACAGAGGCATCTGGACCAATGGTTAGGACCACAGATTTAACTATACAAAAGGATCATAGTTCTACCCCATTACTGTCACAGAATGTCATCTTCAATTCCATATAAGCTACTAGCCCCACAGGTCATAAAGATAATGAGATAGCAGTTATGTAAATACTGAATAGATGCCCCAAGCAATTTGTCCACAAGCTGACAATATTTTGCTTGTCTGAGTTGAAAAGTAAAAAAGCCTTATTTTAACACAAAAGTTCCATTGAAGCTAAATTTTTACCCATGAGCTGAGGAAAGCAAGGAATGTAGAATCATTCAGCTCACTTGCTGAGTCAAGTTAATTAACTTTTTTCTCCAAGCTAAATGCTTTTGATAAAATGCTCTACTTATATCAGATGAAGGCATATAATTGCTAAGTTCATTTGTACCTCTTTTAATGAATAAATTATTCAATTGTTTCTGTATTTTTATGGGTCAAATAGAAATCTAATTATTTAAGAATAAAATTAAATTTTGTGAAATCCGTAACTGAGGTATTACTCTTTGCCTTTTCATGTTTTATTTCTCAATTCTAGCAACTATTTATTTACATACATAGAAAATCATTTTTTTTTTCACAAAACAAACTTATAGAGAGGTAGCAAAAAGTTACTATTTTACCAATTCAAAAATGAACATACCAAGGTATAGAAGGTAGGAATTTTTGTTTTCTCAGTTCACCCAGTACCTAGTAAGCACTCAGCACATAGAGGCAGAGTGAATGAATACGACATTTAAGCAAAATTTTCAGCCAATCGGGACAATAACAATAGAATTTAAAAAATAATATACAAAATATCAGTTAAGTTGTTAATTGCCTAGATAATGACAGCATTAATCTTTATGACATTTATAACATTGCCTCAATATTTACATTTTAAATGAGTTAATTATATTAAATAAAAGTGAGTTATCAACTAACTGAAGCCTCACACACATGCATGCATGCACATACACACACACACACACACACATACACAAATATGAATCCACCTAATGCTGTAAGTGAGCTCTTTGCACAGTGGCAAGTGTAAGCACATGGGATGATAAAGTGAAAAGTCTCCCTAGTGCTGCAGTAGCCTGCAAAGCAAAAAAGGTAAAAGACTTCCATATAATAAGATAGTTATTTCAAAATAAAGTAGTAGTTGTATTCAAGTCTTTCTTTTTGGATATTACAGTCTTCTATTGCAAACATAACCTCAGTTCTCAAGTTCCTACTTAGTAATGGCCACCACTTGTAGTTTTCTAGCAGAAAACACTTGTCATGAGGAAAAGTAGGAAAATATAAACTAAATAGGTTTTTGTATTATTAGTATCAAGAGATTATTATCAGAGAAACTGGCTGCCAATCCACATTAATGCCTAGAATAACATTATCAGACAAATACCATAGCTCTTGAGATGAAAATGCATCTAAAGATATTATGTATTTCAGAGAAAATACTTGTTTATTAAGTATTAAATCAGATAGACCATGGTTCAAAAACAAGGTATGTTATTCAGAAAATAGATAAGCATATGATAACTAGTCTTTACCTCCACAAAAGCCACCTGAAGTGATCTCTTCTTCAAAAGCATCAGAGAAACCCCTTCCTGCATTTAGTTTCGCCAGTCGACCATCGATGAACTGAAGTGGAAAAATGACAAGTATGTTAATTTTTCATTCATTTCATAAAATTACATTTATATTTATATAAAAAGTATTAATACCAAACTCTCATCTAAACACAAATAACACATACATATGTGTATGCAGTACAGCAGCTCCTGTTCCCCTACTAGTCAGCCCAGAGGTAACTGAAACCATGGAAAGTGAAATGCGGATAAGAACAAGACTGCTTTATACACACACAAACATATATATGACAAGAAAATCCTCAATTGAAATAGCGAGTGCTCAGGAAACAACAGTAAATTAGTTAAATTCTAAATGTATGCCACCAAAAAAAAAAAAAAAAAAAAAAACCAAAGTCACTGCTGCAGAGTCAGATCCAACTCATAGCGACCTCTCCTTGGGTTTCTGACGTGGTATCACTATGACAGTAGATTGCCCAACCAACTTTAAACAAGAAATAGCAAAGTGCATAGGAAAGGTCATAGGCTCTGGATAGACTGCTCAACACACAATATCTGTATAGAGGTTTGCACAAAGGCTCTGCCTTCTTGTCAAGACACTTGCCTTTGTGGCTTTGTTCTCCTGACCAGTCCTCAGTTTTCTCAGTACTTGCCTAACGGCATTGCTAAATGACATTGTTAAATTATATTAACCTAGGGATGTACTTAGAACAGACTTTGACACAGTAAGCACTTAAGAAATGTTAGACATTACTAATGTTGAGATTATTTTTGAGATTATTATTGCAGTGTAGTAAATTACCTGATATGGCTTTTCTAGCCATAAGTCTTTGTAAACTCCATGGTGGAATTTGCTTTGAGTGACTGAGGAGCTCCTAATTGTTAAAGTTATCCACCTGGGGTATTTCTGTTGAGAGTGGCACAAAGCAGTATTCTGGGAAGTTTGTTCTCTCTCAGGTGCTTAAAATTCTGATGTTATAATTGGCTAGTTTGGCCATTCCACCAGGCTCAAAATGTGGCCTCCTACAGGCAGAGACTTCTGGCTGAGGACACGCTCCTGAGAGAAATGCGCTCCCAACAGAAACATGCTCCTGAGACACGCATCCCTGAGAGACACGTGCTGCTGGGAAAGAGATGCAAGAGGCAAGCATTGCTGAGAGAGACACTGAGGGACACGCACTATTGGTAGAGAGACTGTGAGAGACTGTTGGCTGAGAGATGGTGGGCGGAGAGAGACTGAGCATTTCTCCTGAAATTGAATTGTAGCCTGGTGCTTCCCTAATAAACCCCATAATCTGTGAGTTCTGTGTGGCCACTGCAGTGAATTATCGAACCCAGCAGAAAGGTGGCGAGTGCCATGGGAGGAATGATTGGTGTCAGGATTGGTGAAAGGGCTGGAGGGAGGCAGCATGTCTGGCCTCACAGGAATGGGCCTTGTGCTACTGATGGTGATTCTGTCTTCCTTTTGTGGGGTTAGAGGAAGCCAGGAGATGTGGCCTCCCTGCCCCTTTAGCAATTATTAACCTCCTCTAGTTAAAATAAAACATTCTTTGTTTAAACTATTATGTCCTAAAACATAATAAAGTGCTTAACTCTAACCATGTAACAATAAAATAAGAGCAGCTTTCATAATTCCTGGTATATTTGTTGACTAAATGATCAGAACTATGATTGTTAATTTAAATACGGTTGAGACACAAATTGACTTGTATGCATAATAACACAGAAAAATATTAATTATATTATAATTAATATAAATATTGTTTACCTCCACAAAAGCCACCTGAAGTGATCTCTTCTTTACAATTATAAACAATATTTTTCTGTGTTGTTAACCCTTTCAAAGCTGAATTATTTTCTGCTTTGAATTTTTTTGTTGAAAGTGTGTTTTCAGTAATGGAAAGCAAATTGAATGGAATGGAAAAAAAAATTGAGGCAATATGGATTTTGATCAAATTAGTGGAACATATATGTCCTGATAGGTCTTTGGTGCTGAGATTGGTGGGATGAGGTTCATTTCTTCAGAGTCACAAAGTTATACAGGTCCCTACTACATGGTACTGTGCACTAAAATAGGATAACAACTTCCCACCAAACCCCAGATGTGGAAAGTATAGGTGGGTGCTTTGACCCATGGGTCATGAAAAGGTTAAAATAAGATTTGAGTGGAAAGCAAAAGCTATCAAAAGTACCTGGAGATCTTTTTCAAAATGTAGATACTCTATAGAGTACTTCCCATCACCTGTTCTGCCCTATCCTTACCCTATTCCAACACATAATATATCTAGATTGCTCAGTCTTCCTTCTGATCAGGATTTGGAGGTATACCAAAACCAGACTCACTGCCATCTAGTAGATTCAAACTCATAGCGACTCCTATTGGGTTTCTAAGGTGGTAAGTCTTTATGGAAATAGATTGCTTCATCTTCCTTCCATGGAGTGGCTAGTGGGTTTGAACTGCCAACCTTCTGGTTAGCAGGCAAATGCCTTAGGCACTGCACCACCAGAAATCCTTAATTTGAGGTATAGACATTGTATTTTGAAAAGACTGTGAAATGATTCTTTTCATGCTTACTACACTTGTATTATTAACACTTGGTTATTTTGGATCTTACTGATCTATGATTTCTATCCATCTATGGATTTATAGCATATGGTCTAATGCATGAGAGGAGTTGTATCGGGCAAAACAGTCTTCCTCAGGCAGCAATTTAAGATAATTAATAACAGTACTTTATACCAGTTATAAGACTTTGAGACTGAAATCTCCTATAGAGCAAAACTAAGAGTTAATCAACAGATTCCAGTTCAAAATGTGGTATAACCACAAAATGCCTCTTCTTTCAAGCCTTTTTATTACCATAAAGGTATTTTGACTAAAGATATGTAATAAGATGGGTTTGGATAGACACAGCCTTAAAGGATGCAGTATTGGCTTTTTTTTAGAACATGAGTTGCTCTCCCAAATTTAGAAACCTTTGAGAGTATGGCCATAGATAATAACTCAGTTTTATATCCTTATCATGGTACGCATGTAAAAGGAAATTACTATAGTGTGAACAAAAAATAAATACATAGTAAAGCTCACTTCCCCTCCACACATCCACCCCACCTTTTCTGTCTCTATCAATCAATTTCTGAGCTTCCTGAGTCCAGGATCACTGTCTCACTCATTTATGCATCTTCTGTACCTAGAAAAAGGCCTGACATAGTTTAAACTAAGGAAATGTTTACTGAAAGACTAAAGTATACTGAAATAATGCAAAAGGCCATATACTTTACCGGGTTTTAAAATTAAATAATTATAATTTATGGAATCATTCATTCTGTTATATCTTGTGATCAGAGTTGGTAACATAACATTAACTTCTTTGCTATATAAACTAAATGGTTAATTTGAAAATAAAATGCATGCAAAATCTGACTCACACCAATTTCCAACACAGCATTATAAATCAAACTAAAGTGAACCCATTTGAGGGACTAAGTATCATTTAAAAAAAAAAAATAAGGTGAAAGTAGTATTATAAATTTGAAGTAATACATAACTGACAAGTAGAACAAACTAAGACATTCTTTTAAAGGACTTAATTTGCTTTAAAAGATTAAGACTACAAGGTTTTTTAAAAGGTTTTCAACGTTGTGTTTACTGGAAATAATCCATTCATTTTAGTTTGAGTGGAACAGTTCAAGTCCAAGGAGAGATAAATTCAAAAACTATTTACTGATTATGCAGTTTTGAGTATGAGTAACTACTTTGTGTTACTAAACTAGTGATTTGAGAGCCAATAGAAATTAATCACTTGGTAAAAGTGCCTCGTTTTATCACTCACTGCAAACATTCTTGTCAGTGACAATCATGTACTTGTCAACTTACACACTGAATGAAAGTGTTTGTTCTTAAAATAAAAGATTGATTTTATTGCATATGCACACATACATTATAATACATACATACAAATACAGACACCCAGGTATAAACTGAAAAGTGGTATTAATAGAGAAGAATGCTGAAGGGAACAGTTCCCTAAATTCCTTTCTGTATTTCTGACTAAATAACAGTTTTTCATCCCAAGTGGAGTTGGTTCATGGTCAGACCACTCTAATAACTTCAGAGCATTTCATAGTAAGTAAAAGAGATAAGAACATTTTTAGCTACTGCTATGTAGAAATAATTTTGAACTAAAAGACATTATCTCTGTTTTAAAAGCAATGGCTCTATTATGTTCTATAACCTGTCCCTTGATTAATGATTACCTACAACATTTAACAGGAGCTCTGGTAGCATAGTGCCTAAGGCACTTGACTGCTAACCAGAAGGCTGGTGGTTCAAACCCATCAGCCACTCCTCGGAAGGAAGGTTGGCCAATCTACTTCCATAGTGATACTGCCTTGGCAACCCAAGGAGGGGTTGCTATGAGTCAGGTCCAGCTCGACAGGCATTTAACAAACATTATCTTTAGGTAACTGAAAGACTTAAGCTTTTGTTTTCACCATCAGCATCAGAATCAGTTTGGTACTGCAAGTAATGACAATTAACATTATATTCATAACAATGACAAATAAAAATTAAGCAAGTGAGTTTTTAGGAATTTAAGACTTTTAAGATGCTGCTTTTCACATAAACTTTAATATTCTGCTCTTTATCCCAAAAGTAAAAACTAAGAATCTAGAATTAACATGCTAAAGATGATATCAAAAAATAAACAACATAATTGGAAATTCTATAAAAAATTCATATACATAAAGCCACAGTATGTATTCCATAATTTTATTTTAAGATATAAATATAAAATTGGCTTAAGTAAGAGTGTACTTAATTCTCTACACAAATGATATTATTCCACCTGTTGTTGTTTTTGTTATGTGCTGTTGAGTCAGCCCCGACTCATAGCGACCCCTGCTTGGGTTTCTGAGGCAGTATCACTACGGAAGTAGATTGCCCAACCTTCCTTCTGAGGAGTGGCTGGTAAGTTTGAACCGCCAGCCTTCTGGTTAGCAGTCAAGTGCCTCAGGCGCTATGCTACCAGAGCTCCATCTATATCACCAACA